CACAAGCACAGAGCTGCAAAGTGTCCGGCTTTACCCATACACCAACAGTCTCCACATCTTTGTTGTGGCAGCAGAAGTAATTTATTTCCTCTTTATTGTGTACTACATGATAGTGCAGGTGAGACCCAATGGAAAGCTCGGCTGACAGCATCACCTTGTGTCTGGTTTTGATTTTGCTTACAAAAACTTTAGGACTGTACTTGATTTCAGTAGTGCTGCTGCTGCCTTGCACACATGGAAGATTGAATCAGATACTGTATCCTTATTAAATAATAGGAAGGCAACATTTTATTTGGCTGGAATGCTTCTTTTGAGAAATTAGTGCAAGATGTACTTTTACCGATCTGCAGTAGTCTGCTTTATTGCAGGGGGGGATAGCCCTAATCTTTAGAGGTGTATGGTATGATACAGAGTCGAGAGACTGAAACAGTAAAACTCCTCTTTTCACAGGGAAAACTGATGAAGACTCTGAGATGGAAATACTTCCACAGCAAGTGGAATCTTCTGGAGATGGCCATTATACTGATTAGCTGGAGTGCCCTGTCAGTGTTTGTGAAGCGGACAACCCTTGGGACCCGAGACATCAGCTACTACCAGGAACACAAAGAGGAGTAAGTACTAATGCTAGTTAGTGCATCCTTTGTTGGTGTAACTTATGCAGAAATAAGTCTATTTTTCCTCTTCCCAGACAACAGCTTGTCTATGATGGAGAAAATGCTGCCCTATATGGCTATATCAATGAAGCACATATTTCAGGGCTTTAATGTGTGCCAGCAACAGGATTTTCTTCTGATATTGTTTTAATAAAATCTAGCAGATTTGAGCACCAAGTTCCCTAGCCTAGATGATACTTCCCCATCCGCATCACCCTATTCTGAATCAACAAGCCTTTCTGCTACAGGACATCCATGCAGACAGTACATAACCCGCCTCATTTCTTGTTGTAAAAAGCCGTTGGTTAAAGGATGATAATGGCTTATTTTATACAGAATGGAAAATTATAACATCTGTTAAAAAATGGTCACACAGGGAAGAGGTCATAGAATCATAGGGTAATTTAGAAAGGAAAGGACCTTTGGAGGTCCCTACTCCAACCTCCTGCTTTGGTGTTAGATCAGGTTGCTCTGGGCCTTGTTTTTGAGTATCTCTGAGGACAGAGATTCCACAGCCTCCCTGGACTCCAGTTCCAGTGCTGAACCACTGACATTGTGGGAGAAAAAAAAAAGTTGTCCAGCTGGAATTCTTCTTGCTACAACCTGTGGCTGTTTTCTCTTGTCCGTTCATTATGCACCTCCAGGAAGCATCTTACTACATCCTCTCTATAACCACCAACTAGGTAGTCAGAGACAGCAATTAGCGACCTCCTTAGTTTTCTTTTCTCCAGGGTGAACAAACCCAGCTCCCACATCCTTCCCTTGTATGTCCTACACCCCAACTCCCAAACATCTCAGTGGCTCTTCACTTGATTCTATGTCCTCCTTGCACTGGGGAGCCCAAAACTGGACTCAGTATTCCAGACAGCCTCACAAGTGTTGAATGACAGGAAAGAACAAACACTTCCTTTAACCTGACTTCTACATTCTTGCTAATGCAACATGCATAGATCATATAGGTATATGTCATGTGCCATATTAGCATACACAATTTATAAATGCTTTTCATGGTCAATCCATTGTAAACAAAATCGTAAGTACAAAAAATGTGCTACCCTTATAACTGGTAAATATAAGTATTACCAAGGTTTTTTTCAGCTATCATTAAGACTTGACTCACGTCAGTCACAGATCACAGTTCTGACTTCCAATCTTTTACTTCATTCCTTACAGTATCTTCTCACACATCATTGGAAATTAGCTAATCCTGTCACAGCAAGTGCCTCCTGCTAGCTGCACAGCACCAGTAACCCCATCCTCTCAACTGCACATGCATAGAAGAATCAGTCTTCCTTTCTAAGGGTCAGAATTTGATAGTAAGTTTGCATTAGCTGCCTTTAAACTGTGACTTGCTAAAAATGAGCAGCATTTGGGCTACAGCCTAGACCCTCTCTCAGCTCCAGCTAATGCTGATAAAAAAACCTCTGCCGTGTACAACTAAGCTTTTTGTGTGCACACAGCAGGTAGCACAGGTGAGAACATTCAAGTGAGAACTCAAGCTAGGTCTCCACAGAAAACAAGGACAGAGGGACTGGCTTTTCCAGCATACTCATTTATGCACTTCAAAGGCTTCTGTGTGCATGGTCTATTACATCTTTTCTTTTTTCTAACAGCTGTGTAAGCTTTAATGAAACAGCAAGAGCTGATGCGGTTCTTGGCTACCTGATTGCGTTCCTAGTGCTTCTCTCCACAGTGAAACTGTGGCATCTCCTGAGGCTCAACCCTAAACTAAACATGCTCACTTCAACTCTAAGGAGGGCATGGGGTGATATCTCTGGATTCATCACTGTTATTGCAGTCATGTTCCTCGCCTACTCCATTGCTGTGAGTACCACTGTGGTTTCTGTTGCCTGCAGTCTGCATCCAGGTACTGTCAGGTCAAATGAATTATTTCTGAATGCTGAGAGCAACATAGCTTTGAAATGTAGAACTGAATAAATCAAACACTGAGAGGAAAAAATGGATTCTCTGTGTGTAATAGGTGTGACAAAGAACAAAGTACAGGAAAAATCATTTTCTGGATAAACTCAAATTGGGGAGAGTGCAGCAAATGCCATTTTCTGTTTGGCCAGTTTTTAAGTGGGAAATAACTTTTTCTGCCTGTTATAGGAATACTTATTATGCAAATAAAATGACATTTTCATTCTAATGAGATTAAAGAATTATTGGACTGCAACTATTTATGTATATTTACTGATTTAGCTGAAATGTTTTGTGTAAATCTTCTGGCAGAGTGATGTAGGAAATTCAGCACATCTCAATTGCAAAATCACTGAAAATGTGGAAAATATGTGAGCCAAATCCATTGTCCTGTAAAGGGTAGACCTGTGACAATCGGGACCTGCCACAGTCTCACACTGCCTGATTTCACAGCCCTCATCTCTCCCTTCCTCCAGCACTGACACTCTAGCAACGGAGTAGCTTTAGGCATCGGTATGGTCACAAAGTTAACAGGTAAAATAAGGGATGAGATCAGTTTCATGGCCCAGTCTGTTGTCACATCATGAAGGTGCTGGAGCTGTGAAATAAAGAGGTAGGAATATGTATGTAGGGATGGAGAAAAAGGTGACACAGCAGCAGCCCCCATTTAAATCAGACACAGTAAGCACAAGGTATAAATGAAGAAAATAGCACCTTGGCTACTGAGCAGAAACAAGGAAGCTGCCTGCTGGGAAAGATCTGTGCACTGAAAGATAAGTGTTTGTGACTATGATTGATTTGGTCAATTATGCAGAGATAAATCTGCTACTTAGAGGTGGTCTAAATTACTTTCCAGATTTTGTCATGTATTTTCAGGTTTTTTACATTATCTACTGGCAAGCTGAGCAGGTATAAGACATTCTCATATCCATGATAAAAGGGCTTAGAGCTAAACACATTCAGGAAGTGTGAATCCAGTTCTTAGCTCTAGGTTACAATTCTTCTGTGACCTTGTCTGGTATTTCCCCTCTTTGTAAACAAATAAAAATCCCAAAACACAAAAAAAGCTTCATGGCTCTGATGACAAGCTAGGAGAGTTTTCTCTGAATACAGTAGTCAATAGCTGACTTTGCAGCAAGGACTCTGATTGACACAAGATATGTCTTCTTTCCTCTGCAGACAAACTTGATATTTGGCTGGAAACTATATTCTTACAAAACTCTATTTGATTCATCAGAGACCATGGTCAGTCTTCAGCTGGGAATCTTCAACTATGAGGAGGTACTGCCTCTGATGTTGAGACGTTTATCGCTGTGTAATTAGCAGCTCAGCTATCAAATATGCTCTGAACCAGCAAATAGAAAGACTTCCAATTAATGCTAGACATTAATCTAATTTTGCAAGCTCCACAGGCTCCTAAAGCAGCCACCTTTTCTCAACAAGACAAGACACTGAGTGAAATATATCTCACATCTCATTTTGACCATCAGTAGTCTCATAATGAACATTTAATTGAGAAAGGTGCTCACTCTTTAACTAAATATGTTTCTTATGGACCACAGAAAGTTTTGAGCAATTTCCTGAGAAAGCTATAGAATGTGAGTGATGCCCTGCATTTGTTCTGAACACTCACCCATCAGCTTCTCAAGAAAGGCAAGGCCATCCACAAGGGAACTTTATGTTACATTTATTTTTATTATTCTTGACTTTTTCATTAAGTTCTTTCAAATACTACAATATCCTTTGAAGAGCTCTTTGTGGATTAAGCTAGTTCTCAGACATCTCTGACTGTGAAGTCCTCCTTGGTGGATGTTTTTGGACCATGGATCCAACAGGGTACAGGCAGGTTTGAAGATCAGTAATTGGGCAAAAGTTTTTCACCTCTACATCCCACTCATGTTTCTGATTATGCAAATATATTCCTGCATTATAGCTTACACAAAAATGAGGTTTGGGGATTTTTACACAACACATTGATGGTATGTGTCCATGACAGTCTGACTGGGCTTCTTTGTAAAGACACTACTAAAAAACAACATACAGAGTTTTCATCTATACTTTGAAAGCCGAGGCATAATGGAGCTTTAGCTGTTCTGTGGATAGACAGATCGCCAGGCTTCTCAACTTCTACATGAATTTTTACATTAAATATTCCATACCCTTACAATCAAATGCAAATACATAAAAACCACAAAAATTCCCCATATTTATATATCATATATATAAAATATTCTATTAACTTTGTACTAATATCAACACAGGAAAGTGACTAAAGGAGAAAATTAATATATATATATTCATAATACACACAAGCATAATTTATTAGCCACAGGGATTTTCAGAGACAAACTCCTTATTGTGTCTTAACTGCTTGTATGTCTGTCTTTTGGGGTTTTTGTTTTTTACAATCAAAATATGATGTCTTACCTTATTAATGCTACAGGTCTTGGACTACAATCCAATTCTAGGCTCCTTCTTAATTGGATCCTGCATAATTTTCATGACATTTGTGGTACTGAATCTGTTCATTTCGGTGATTCTGGTTGCTTTTAGCGAGGAGCAGAAGCACTACCAGGTGTGTTCATCTAAGCTCTGCTGCCATTTTTAACATTAAGTGTGCAATGCTTACTCATGGTTTAGGTATTCCACCATCAGATGAAATCCATGTAAACTCAGTCCCACTCCTAAGAAGTCAACATTTACTTATGAAGCACACTTCAGATTTTCCAGATTTACACTATCCATTCCTGTTCAGACAAGTCCTTGGTCAGATTTAGTACAAGATCTGATTTGTAGCCTTTTGCTCACATCCTAAATCCAGCAAAAGTCTTGGACTTGAACTGCAGCTCCGTTGAAATCTGTGCCAAAACTGCTCCTAAAGTCCATGAGGACTTTACAGCTCCTTTTAAAAACGTCACCCATTGAAGCTATTGAAAGCACAGTGTAAAATCCAGTTTAGTACCCCAGTACTGTCCAAAATTCCTCTATGTTTTAAATAAAGTCAAGGGAGGTGAAAACAAAAGGGATGGTCGATAGAGAACAAGATATATTTAGTTTTTATCATTTACTTCATCTAAAAATAGCGGGTGGGTCATTGTATATACCGCTAGCTGTTTGGTAGCTGACAAGTGAACTCCAGGCTCCTGTAGCAGGATTTCCATGGGGTTTGACAGGGCCAAGACTTCATCTGTAATGTCCATTCTCAACCATGCTTATCTGGGACTTTTGCCCTGATAAAAATATTGGCATAATGCTTTGCTTTGGCAATTACTCATTTCTCTGGCTTCAGCTGAGACTGTATCTGCTTCTGGTCTGTGCATCTGAGTGACGGCTTGTTGTTGTTTCAGGCTTCAGAAGAAGAAGAGATTGTTGATCTAATGCTAATGAAACTTTTCAGTTTCTTTGGAATTAAATGCAAGAAAGAAGCGAAGCCAGTCACTGATGATCAGGTGGAATAACCTGTCAACAACTAAATGATAACCACAATGAAACGTCACTTTGTGGGTGGAAGATTCAGTTTTTAACTATAAAGTGAAGTGGATAGACTTATCATGGCTTCTGACTAAAACGCTGAAGCGTTCAATCAATAAACCGTTACTGGCACGTTATTTTGGAATAGTAGCGAAGAAATAACGCTAAACCTAGAGTTAAGAGTGTCCCACGCGCGCTTCCTGTAGACGCGGCACCTGTGTTCAATAAACACCGAGCGCTTGTTGCATCCTTTGGCTAACGCCCCTCGCTTTCCGCCAAGCAAGCGCCGAGGGAAGATGGCGGCCCCCCCCTCAGCCCGCCTCCATCCCGCGGGGGACTGCCGGGCCGCTCCCGCCCCGGGGGAGCGGCGCTCGCCGGTCGCCTGCAGGGCCCGCTCAGGCCGCTCGCTGAGGAGACTCCCCCACAGCCGCCCCGCCCGGTAACGGCCGCCCCCGCCGGGCGGGAGCTCGGCGCGGCACCGCCCCCGGCAAAGATGGCGTGGCGAGCGCTGCGGCGGGTCGGGCCGGTGCTGGCGCCGCGCTGCCCGCGCTTTTCGCCGCTGCCGCGGGTGCCCGCGGCCCGGAGGTTAGCCACCAGCTCGCTGGTGCTGTCCGGTGAGTGGCGGCCGGAGGGAGAGAGAGAAGCCCGGTTCCGCCGGGAGTCCTTCTGCTGAAGCGCCCTCCGTGCGCGGAGTTTGAGCCGGGGGTGCGGGAAGGAGCGCTCCGCTGTGGGAACGCCGGGTGAGGGGGATGCTGCCCTGGGCCGGACGAGTCGTCTGCGCCCGCTGGTGCCGCGGGGGAATCGGGGGCGGCGGGGGGAAAAGCCTCGCAAGATGGCTGAAGCCTCGCAAGGGCTTACAGCTGCGGGGGGCAATCGGTGCCGCCCCGCTTTGGCAGCGCGGGTTTCACCTGGCCCTGACGCCCGTGAGGAGCTGGTTCACCTCCCAGAATTGGCGGAGAACTCTTAACCGCCTTTCCGTGCTGCAGTTTTTTAGCAAAGTGGCCTTGTCCCCTGCCCCTAGCTGCGGGCATCACGGAGCGGGCCGAGTGTGTAGAACAAGCTGTCGACAAAAAGAAAAGCAGAGAGCTTTTCCTGGCATCGTTGTGCTGAAACAGCTTGTTGGTAGCTCCAAGGGGCGTCAGCAGCAGTACAAGAAAGGGGCAAAAATGGGTGGACGGAGGAGGCGGGTCTGCAGCAGCTAGGTTGGTGTGGGCTGCCGGGGAACCCGAGGCAGATTTTCAGCGTCTTGGGCCTGTTCGGGCTAAAGAAGTTTGGCTCCGTCTCACCAGCTCCTGTGTAGTGTAGCTGCAGAGGTGCTAAGGCAGGAGATTAACTTACACATAGGTACTTGGTGTGATTTTGCTCTTAATGTAGTTAATTCTGAAAGTATCTGCTGCTGTTGAAGCTCTGTTTGAATGGCCATTGGCCACAGAAGTCTGAAAAACAAAATCTGTGGTACTCTGTCAAACAGAAATGTTGAAAAGGAGGGAGAGAAAAGGAGGAGAATATGCAGTAAAATTAATGACTGCCACTAAGAAGAGCTCATAAATTTCTTCCCAGATAGTGGTTTGACTACCTTCTGCTGCAAGTGGAAGTAACATTTATTAGTCATAGGCTAGTGAGTCATGATCTAAGCTTTTTCCACTATTCTAATTGTTTAATGTACCCATTGCTTTTCTATAGATATAGCTTGATGGAATAACATAAATTATGCTTTTGTTTTAGGCAGAGAGGAAATATTTTGTATACCTCTTTGTGGAGGTGTGAGTTTTCCTTCACTCTTCAGGTATATATTTATGAAATATTTATTAGAGGCAGGCTAAACTAAATGAAGGTCTGAATTCAGAACGTGATAGTTAAGATAAAACCAGTCATGTTGAAATGAATGAAGCTAGAGTAAATTTAGCGGCTCTTCTGAAAAGGAATACTCAGAAGAGATTTGGTACGCTTTGACATTTCATACTGGTTTAATTTGCTTTATTTAATGGGCTGATTGCATAAGATCAAAGTTCAAATTGTGAGATTACTTATTAACTCTTTTTAATTTTACCTTTATTTGCAGTTGTTTTTGTTGCATGGTTAGAATTTTTAATTTTTCACTTTTTTTTTTTTTGTCCTACAAGAAGCTTATGTGCTCTTCTGACTGTTAACATTTTATTGCTGTGCTCCAGACTGATCATGAAGTATTCTGTTTTGTTTGTTTTTTAACCTTGCTTTATAAACAGATCTTATACAATATTATTATCCTACATAAAAATATATTGGATGGCTTCTTTGTGATGTGTAATGTTCATCTTGGGTTTGAGATTTTGTGTCATTCTTTGTTTTTATGGTTCATTACTCATTTCCAGTGAAATTCCTATGGGTTTGATGTCTTGACCTAAAATGGCTTAAGACGTTTCTTCTTTTCATTAGAATGTGTCCTGAGAGATTTTTGTAGGTGTAAATAATACTGGCTCGATTTCTCTGGATTTTTTTGAGTGATAGTTCATGGAGAAATAATTAATATTTGTGGTTTATTTAATTTTTTTTTTGTGTACTTGCAAAAACATGTATTGCTCTACTGAGGCCTATAAAACTTAGGCCATCTTCAAAGACAAACCATTTTATCTGAGACTTGCTTCTCTTACATGTGTTCAGACATAAGAGAATGACTACAGTTGAACTAGCTTAAAATATGACTGACTGTTAGGGGGAAGATTTTAGCAGATCTACAGTGAGAACTTCTGTTTTCTGTCATGTACAAGTTTAGAAAATACACAAGGATTTGCGGAAGTGTAGTTTCTCTAGCGGATATAAGGAGTCCAGCCTAGAGGAAGAGCCTGAGAGGAGAATTTTCAACTCAAAAGGAAGGTCCAGATACTCTGGCACTAATCACACAGAGAGCTCTATTTAAGAAGTTATCTTCTCCAGTTTCTGGAACATCCCTTTCCTGATTGGATAGGTGCTACAAGTGAATACTAAAAATAAATTAATTTTAAAAAAATAAATATGGAAGTGAGAAAACAGACCAAGCAGGCTGAAAATGCTCAGGGTAAGAAAAGTTCCAGATAAAATATTAGCAAGAAAAATGTTGCCTGTTTCAGTTACTTCTGAAGTTTCTCTATATGACTTTATAAAAAGAACTGCTTCTAATAAAAGCTAGTGCAAGATGCCCTGAATCTTACAGATCTAAAATATATGTAGAATTGTAAGATTGCTGTGAAAAGACTTAACAGAGTCTTAAATATGCTTATTTTAAAACTATGAAGAATAACTACCGTGTTCTTCTCACAGTAACAGTATTAACAGAGAACAAATTTGCGAAGTAGCAGTTGCCTATATAAGTTGCTTTATTAATTTGCCTGAATTTTACATAGATCTGTGACAACATTAAACAGGGAGAAATAGACTCTGTAGGAAATGTCAGGGAGAGGGAAAGGGATCAGCCACTTTTCCTAGCTGAGTTGCAACTTTTTTACTTCAACTGATGGCTCTGTTTAAGTACTTTGAATGAGGTGCTGTAATGCTGACACTGTTTCTACCCAGCCATTAATGCTGGCCTTCCCAGGAATAACAAAATGGTTGTCAGAAACAAATATTAAATATGCTTGAAAAGCCACTATCCTATCATAGGAATGCATAACTATGAGCAAAGTATATGCTTCAGATTTATGCTTCTGTTTGAAGCAGAACTACTCCTTTTGCTGCTGTACTTTATCAGTCTCTAGATAGAATTAGTAATGCTCTCAGCATAACACCTAATGAGCTTCTATTGTGTCACTGAGCATGTAATGAGCAGAACAAAATGCTTCTGTAAATTGTATTTGCTGCTTAAGATATTTTCCAAGAAAAACTAATAAAACTAACTTCGGTTAAAAAAATCCCACAGTTAAATCTACATATGCATTACTGTATTTAAGTGAGCAACATGTCGCTTATTTCTGAAATATCAAGTTTGTTTCATTTTAGCCCGTAAATTCACAGACAAGCATGAATGGATATCTGTCGAAAATGGCATTGGAACAGTAGGAATCAGCAATTTTGCACAGGTATTGATCCCTCCCCCCTTCTCCGAGTCTGCAATATTTATTTACACATACCTGCTCTTGTCCTTGTTCTTTGGACAGTTACTGGTTTTTATTGTTCTAATTGCACATGCTATACAATAAGTGTGATTTTTGGACTTGGATCCATCACATTATTTGTGAAGTAATTGCTGCTTCAGCTTTATGATAAATTCTTAATCACTCTAAATTGAGCCTATGGAGAGCTGAACTTGATGAGAAACTTACTGGTTCAGCAGAATTTAAAACTTCCTTTATTACTTCAGTTCTTATAGGCCTGAGGATTCGTGGCTATGTGAAGATGATAGCATGTGCTTTTTAGTTCACATTTCCCCTGAACATGAATATGATACAATCCCTCTGGCTGAAGAACAGTTGTGAATAGAAGTACAACATGGCATATATTTCTTACTCTAGGATAGGAATTCCTTTGGATTTTCTGTTTTGTTCTCATGCAAGTATGTTGTCTGGAATAGTCACAGGCACATTCAGGATAGAGATTCACTGTATATGAAACTTAAGAAAATCTAATGTGAGAAGCTATCAGTGAAGTAGAATTGTTTCTTAGGACAAGCGGCGTTTCCCATAATCTCAATTTTCTGTAAATAACACTAATACTCGATAAGATCCCATGTCTTTTGTGAGATAGGGCACATTTGTCTGTGAAGAGGCAGAAGCCTATTCTGGTTGAGCAGATCCTTATGGTGATAAGGCTCATTATTAAGTCAGTAAGGACAAACTGTGTGCTAACAGCTCCGGAGTTGTTGTGTCTCTGGGGAGGAATCAGTGTTTTCTTTCAGATTGCACTGGAAGTAAATCTTCTGTGCTTTGTAACAAAAAGATAATTCCCGCAAATCATTGGGAACTTTGTCCTTTGAAACAGTTGTTACTCTAGCTGATGCTAAGAAGATCGGCAGATGTTATTTCTCATTCTGCCTGAAGAAATCTGTATGTAAACCTTGTAACTCAGCCTGAGGGTTATTAACACGGTAATAGATAAACAATAATTTGGCATTTGGGGCATGATAACAAACCATTTTTTTTTCAAGTTATATGTTTAAAAAGAAAAATATGCGGTCCCTAAAGAATGAGAACTAAATTTAGAGACAGATTACTTATATACAGTAATTCTAGAGTTTCTGTATCAGATCTCTTCTATGTATAGTTTCTTTATGTTTTGATGCTTTTGTTTTTCTTTTAAGGAAGCATTAGGAGATGTTGTTTACTGTAGTCTTCCAGAAATTGGGACAAAATTGAGTAAACATGGTAAGTTCCAGCTTTGATTTCTAATGAAGTAATTATTCTGCTCATCCCACTCTCCCTTTGCAAATATGAATTTTATGAAGTAATCTTTGTGTTCATTAATACCATTATAAATCTTCTACAAGAGTTGGCTTTAATTTCAAACTCTGTCAGACTGCGCATGGTAGCAGAAAATACCTGCTTATTAAACTGTGAAGACATTTATTTAAAAATCAAATATTTTACATATATTTTTGTAATAATTTTGTCTATGCTCTGTGTCTGAAATATTTATGCTTTGATTTGGATTTGTTAGTGTTTAGGCTGGCTTATTTGCAATTCTGCAGTTACACGAGTGTGAAACATCTAATTGACATCAAGATGTAATTTTTCTATGAATATACAGACTCAGTAATTTTGGGGTATCAACTGTAATCATAGGTTTTTGCTCATTAGTGATGTACAAACTGTTACGTGCTTAATCATTAAGTTATGTAACTTTCCATGTTAAAAAAGAGCATGAACAGGTAGAAAGGAAAAGCCTATTCCTGTGTTTACATGCTAGTGTATGAAGAAAAGATTGTCATTAGCGTCAGACACTGCAGAACAAGAATGTAGATTTACTGAGGTAGAGTAGCAGGCCTTTTTTTTTTGCCATCATTCTTGTGAAATAGGTCCGTATCGAACTGTTTCAGCCAAATCTATTGTATCGTGTTGAATGGTGAATGTTAGACAAAAGGTCTTTCTGTTCAGGGTTTTAATTAACCAACTTTTATTTTTGCTTTATCTGAAGGAATTTAATTTACATTTAGTTCTTCTCTTTTCTACCCCTTCTGGCCTTAGTCTAATTCCAAGCTTTCCCAGAACATGTTGTTCTCTGATTCCTTGTGCTGATGCCTATCTGCTCTTCAGACAGCCCCATGTTCCTGCAGCTTCTGTCTTGTTTGCTTGTGGCTTAGAGTTACTCTGGACCAACATTGCTTCAGACACCATTTCCATAACTGCCTACAGAATAGAAAAAGGGGAAGAGTGGCTGGGTGATTCCGGTGTGGTGCTTCTGAATACTAATGTATGTTTTCCAGTGAGTGGAAGCACAACACTTGATAATGTTTCTGAAGAAAAACTCAGATTCTTGAAATTGGCTGTGTCTATTTTGTAACCAAATTATGTATTAAAAGGTTTAAATTGTAGATAGAAGGCAAATTTAGGTCTCTTGCAGCAAGAGCTGGATGTGGTTCCTTCCAACCCAGTATCGTATCATCTGTTGTAGGGCTTTAGCCAAAGGATTAGCCAAATGTAAGACATTTCTGTCCCTTCTGTAGTAGCCAACTAGGTAGTGTTATGCAAGTTCCCCAGAATAATTCAGGAGCATAAACATCAAATTTAATACTGCTGATCATTGTCATAAAGTTGGTGACTTCAACCTCTGACAGTTTTCCTTACTCAAGATCAAGACACTTCTTCAGTGGCTAGGTCATCACCAGAATGTCTGACTGAAAAAAAACTAAAGCACTTTATATTTTCCTCTTAAAAGCATTCAATCTTATTCTGTGTTTCAGATGAGTTTGGAGCTTTGGAAAGTGTGAAGGCTGCTAGTGAACTTTATTCTCCTCTCTCAGGAGAAGTTACTGAAGTTAATGCTGCCCTTGCAGATAATCCAGGGCTCGTCAATAAATCTTGTTATCAAGATGGTAAGATGTCATTTTTATCATTCAATAATGAATACTGCCTGGATTCTTGCTATCACAAATGGCTCTGCAATTCCTAGTTCTTCCAGTTTAATGATATGGAGGCTTAAATGGAATATACAGTATATAGAGTTCAAGCCCGATAAAGTTTAACAGGAAAGTATTCTTGTAGTTTTGTCTCTGCTGACAGCTGTTTTACAATGTGTTCTTTTCAGACATAGACTGTGGATGAATTTAAATCTCTTTCCCTTGATCGCACTTTTCTTTTTTTTGATCTTGTAACAGCTCATGATACTGAGAGGTCAGGCTCTTTTTTTCACCCAGTGTCTCCTCAATGCTACTGTCAGTACTAAGGTAGACAACTGGTCTGACTCAAAAGGCCATTTCTTATGACAGACTGGTTGGTTGTTCATTTTTTAAAGTACTGAAACATTGTTTCGCCTGCACAAGAAATCCTGTTGATTCTGCCAGTGTTACAGGGCTTGTACGTCTACTGGGAGTACTTTTCTAAGGCAATAACATGAATAAATCTTTCTTTATGATATTAGCAACTGTTTTTAATTTCCTAACTACAGGTTGGCTTATCAAGATGACTGTGGAAAACCCTGCTGAACTTGATGAACTGATGAATGAAGATGCCTATGAGAAATACATAAAATCCATTGAAGAGTGAGCTGGAATATTAAAATAAATCCATATAAAATATTTCAGTGTAGTTTGTCATCAATCAGTGAAGTACAGAATATCCAGTTTTGGCAACCTGAAAAATACCACTTATGATCATATATACAAGGCCATAAATAATTACAGTGATACAAATGTTTAACATCTGCATACCTGTGAGGGCTTTTTATTCTGTTGTCTGATTTTTGTAACTTCAGGAAGCTATCTATAATATTTTGGGAAACAAAATTTATTTGCTAAATATACTTCCCAAGATTTGTTTGACAATCAAATCTAGTAACAACAGCCATAATATGGTAATTCTGTTAGGCACGACTGTTCTTGTAACCTGGACTGCAGCTTTCCTTGAATTACTTTTCTCTTGCTCCCAAGATACTGAAAAGCAGAGTCTCTCTAACCTCCTAATATTTTTCCTAATTATAGTTGCAAAGCCAATACCAAAAAAGGAGAAGCTGTATCAACTACCTCTTTGCATGATTTTTTTCTTCTTTACAGAATTTATTAATCCTTTGTTTTCCTTCCTCATTTTACTACATAATCAAATAGTTCTGTCTTTGCAGAAAGTATGGTCCTTCTGATTTCTATGCTTTCTTAGTATGCAAAACTCATGCAACAATAGTTTATCAAGGTTCTAGAGTGGATTGTTTAGGCTGTGTTTTTTGTCTAGTAAACACTACCTATGCCACAAGTAATTAAGGAATTCTACATCTTGTGCGTAGCAGTTGTGGTGATTTCAGAAGAGTAGGTAACTTGTGAAAATTGTGTGATCAGTAATAATTTGACATATAATCTATCCATGTGTGTCTGTCTTTAAGATCAAGTAGGTTCCCTGCTGTAATGACATCACAGGAATGAAACTAAAACTTTCACTTTGCAAACGAGTAAACTAAAGCAGCTGATTCCATTAGACTTAATATTTAATGAATCCCCAAATCTGCACTCAAATTTTATGTGACATCTAAGGGTGAAGTTGAGTTGTACAGACCTGCACTTTAAGAAAACATAATAGTGCAGCAGAGTTTCGATCTAAAACTTCTTTCCTCAATTTAAAAATAACAATTAGAAGCTAAGCACAAAACAGGAACAAAAACCAAGTGTCTGTAAGTTGATCTAAGAGGAAGCAGGGGAATGTTTAATCCATGTGAGATGACAAAGGCAAAATTCATATTCCTGTGGAAGTCCCTCTCAAAAGCACAGCCCTTTTAAAGTACAGACATACACTACAGAAACCTTTCTAATGTATAAAAATGTAGAGCTTTCTTTTACGATCTAAAGGGATGTCAAAGTAATTGATGTTTTTTTGAAATCCTAGGAGCTAATTTTTCCTGAAAGAGTCATAGATAAAAGCCCTGCGGAGAGAGACTCCACGGTGTATTTAAGATAGTTTTGTCTTTTCCTTAGGAGTTAAACTGCAAAGTGACTACGAGGAAAGAGTGGGTTTGACTGTTCCACAGGAGTCCTCACTTGGCAGTGGCTGATAAACAAAAGGCTCTGGTAAACTTAGTATAAGTGCTTTAAAAACTGTCAGCACTTATCTGCTATTTGCAGTGTTATGCAGTATTTACTGTGACAACATCCAGGGCCCGGAGAGCTGGGAGCTTGACCCTGGCCTCTTACAGACTCCCTGTGGCCGTTTGGATCTTCCCTTTCCCTTTGCACTTTCCAAAGGGAAAGAGAAAGTTTGTTTCAAATTAGCATGTGTGCAGGCAAGGAGATAGGAATTTGATACTGTTTCTTCCACCTTATTTTGTCCAACTTTACTAGAAAGTAATAGGACCTTCATTCATTGCCATGTAATAATATATGACCCTTATCCATCTCCCTTTAAAGGTTAGTCTGGAACATTGTAATGCATTTTAATACAATTTTTACCTTAAAATGTTTGTATTCTTTCCTTTTGATCAGTGAAATATGAAATAGCAATTTCTGTAATCCCCTAAGGAACCTGGGGAATAGTAAAAACTAGCAAATCTGATCTCTTCCTCAAGCTTTGCCCTCATCTGTGTATTAGCAGTGTTTAAAAGATTACACCTGAGTATGGATAAACGACAACTTTCTGGAGAAACCATCTGAAACAGAATTCAACCTTTATTTCATGGTGTACTGTTGGAGAATGGATGTCCTTTTGCTTAAAAAGGAAGACTATGAACTTCTAGGGGTTTATGTCCTTAAAGTGATTTATTAAGTTTCTCAATTAATCTTAAAATGGGAACAATAATACCTATGTGCTTTTCTTGTGTGGTTTATGCTGAGAGCTCTGGTGTTCTGCAGTGGGTTAGGCCAAAGGATGTCTATGGGCGCAAATACTTTTCTCTTCCTACAATCCACTCAACTACCTGAATTACTCTGCCAAAAGAATCTATTCTTCCTTGTTTGATGTATGCTATCCAAGCAGATCTCCTGGCTTTTAAAATAATCCTATAACTTCACTACGTTCAGTAGCAGCAAGAAGCCTCAGGCAGACCACCACGCACTGGTTAGAGCCAGACTCTGTAAGAGCACGAACGCAAAACTTGCCAACAGGACTCTATAATGAATGCCTTGGAGTAAATGTGTGTTAGCTTTGGTCTATGAAACAATTTTAAATGCTTTTGTATAAACTGTAGGGGAAAACATCAAACTTGTTCACGAGTGTGCGCTTTTACAAAAAATGAATAAAGGAGATGATTTTTTACAAAAATAACCACTTTATCTGTGACCTCTTAAGTCTGGATCCTGAGCTTAAGAATTTAACACTCATAATTACTGGATATTAAACATTAGACACTCAGTAGAGATTGGGTTTATGGCAAATTATTATTTTCGTATTTCTTCCACAACCATTAATTACATCTGTATCTGCTAGGGGTTAATCATATCATCACCTTTCTTCTTGCCAACACTTAGTTTCTGTTCCACAAGTACCAACCCCTTTATCTCTCACATTATCTAATTGAATAATATAAGCTAAACTTGGAACTAATTTTTTCAATTCATATTTAGTTTTGTAAGATTTTTACTGACATCAGTCCTGAGAAGATTGCATACCTAAAATTTTGTCTGTTTTTCCACCAATGAAGCACTACCTCTCCCTCTGAATCTTGACCCATCATGTACATCAATACAAGTCATTCTTTTCACCAGAGGGGGAAAAAAATCAATGGTATAAAACTAGAAGAACAAAAATACATAAACAGTCACACTTGATGGTGTTTTGCTGAGCATAAAATAAGGGCAGTGTCAACATCACTGTCATTAAATTAGCAGTAAGACAATTACCTAAGCAGTTCTGATGATTAGAAGTGCAGGTCATCTCAGTTTGTAATGCTCCCCTTAACTGCTGTCTCCAGACAGTTGATGTCCTGTGGATAAGGATCCTCTTTCCTTTTTCTTCATACTGATAGACTGCGAATTTACAATCTTCCTGTAGTAATGGCTCCCATCAGAGATGGGATATGCCAAACTGACACATAAAGGACATCACATCTATCTTCATGTCAGCTTAGTCACATGAATAAACAGAGCTGCACCAATAAATCAATCAAGAATGATCCTCAGCTCCTCAACTGAGCACGTGAGGCTTTTCTGTTGTGATGTTGGGAGACACCACACAGCAAGAGGCAAAGGAAATTGTACCACCTGCACTGCATATTTTGGAGAAGAGAAAGAAAACCTAAGAGCAGTGCATAAGTCATGAGTAACATGAATGCACCAGTGGGTGGAGTGCTCCAGGTTGACAAATGGTGATGTGCTGATTTAAATAATTGAAAGTTGAAAAAAGAATTGCAGAATTTCACTCCATGGTGGTACTCAAAACGCTAAAGGTGATAACACAGGGACAAGGCAAGGAAGAATGGTCAGCCTGGTTTTCCAGTTCAGCTGCTTAGTCACTGAAAGGTGACATCTCAGCTTCAGTGTCAGTTCATTTCCTAGGTCAACTTCAAGATTAGGAAAAATATTAAGCACATCTTGCTTCATTGAAAATGTTTTAAAAACGCTCCTCACAGCACTACAGGTAACATGAATTAACTTAAACCTTGTTTTATGGTACTCATCATCATCCTTCTCCCCCAGTCTCCTCTTCCCCCTTCTTGCAGCACACCTAAACTTTAGCCTGGTGGGGAAGGGGGTCACATGGACAGTCTAAAATTTTACCAAGTTCCCAACATAATGCCAGCCATTAAGTCAACAGGAGTTTTTCAATAACAGAGCAGAGATAGACTGAGAGCTTTGGGAAAAACATTCTTCCACCAGTTACAGGTGAAACTGCTTTTACATTGATGCATCAGTTTTAGAGATACTGCAAAAGTCATCTGCATAACAGAGAGACATCTCTGCAGAGAAATGTGTTTTAATGCAGTGAAAGGTGACTGGAGTGATGGAAAACTGAACATCCTTTGGCAAGCCTTTTCCAAGGAATATGACTTCATGGATGTAAAACGATATTAAAAATTAAAATTAAAATTACTGCAAGATATGCTGCAGATGGTACAGACAAACTTTAAGAGCAGTTTAGGAATGTCCTCAATATAATTTTCTCCGCTTTCCCCACACTACTTGAGACACAGTCATAGAGGAACAGTCCTTGGCTTGAGAATTTAGTCTGCGGTATCTGGATTGGTTAGAGTTTGCCTCACAATATTGATATCCCTCTCTTCCTGACAAAGCATAATTCAGTCACTTCAGACCTGATCTATTTTAATGCAGTACAAGTGCCTTACATCCTCTGCTATTAGGCTGGTTTATTTATCATTTGTTTATAGTGTTTAATTATTTATACCATTGAATGTATTTTGCTCAGAGATGTATTTTAATGGAGGTACAGCACTTGTACCTTTCTCTAACCACAAAAATCAATCTGCAAGATAGAAGGATGAGACTGCACTTCTTAGAACTGAAGAGTACTTCTGTTTTTCAGTCACCACCCCTCTCCCTTTTTTGCTGCATGGGTCTGGATCAAGAGAAAATAACAGAGAATTAAGTATTCTTAGCAACTCCTGGCTGTTCTGACAACCCCTCACTTGTGCCACAACTGGTAAGGCAAAGCCAGTGATAAAACTGGTGTAGTATCACTATTGCACGGCCCTCCTTCTGCAATGTATCACTCTCATCTATAACTGAAACATTTTTGCAGCTTTCTATGAGACTAAGGGGCATTTCTTACATTGGGTTGGCCTGGTAAATGTGTTAGATCACAAAGACAACAATTTAGCTGTTCAAAAAAATTTTTGTCTACTTCCCATATTGTCCATAGGTTTAAAGAGTAACTGAAGGACAACATGGTCCTTTAATGCATGCCCCTGCTTCTACGTGACCTAAAGTAGCATTTCTAATAGGGAATATAACACAACATCATGATAGATCATGACAACAGCATGAGCTCTTGGGATGAGGTTTCATGAGAACCTGAGCTGATCTCGTAGCTCCTTGCTGCTGAAAGACCAGGCTCAGGCTTTTTCTTCCTCCTCTTTGGCCACCCCCTTCTCTCTGTACCTCATCCTCCTTGCTCTTGACACCTCCACCGGTCACAGGGGCTGCACCATTTGAGACACCCACGGCATTCAGGATATCCCTTGAGCCAAGTTAACTCAGCCAGGCCAAAAATTGTTGGTAGATTCCCAGAAGCATCCATAGAGTGACATTAAGAAATAGAGATTGCTATAAGTAGCAGTACTGTTATATGAATACTTCATGCAGTTCAACACTTGTTATTTATAAGAATGTCTACTGTATGTAAGTCTAATTAATAGTCAGATGAATTACTGCAGTCATATCTTGTCCCATGTAAGAGTGAAAAAAAAAATCAATCCAAAACTAAAGCACAATGTAAAACTATTCCTTCTTTTTTTCATTTTAGAGCACCATGACTTCATTATAATCTTCACCCAGAACTGTAATCTCATTACTTCAGGGTCACTCAAGCATAACAGCAGTTTTAAATCCAAAGAATATTTTTACCAAAGAGAAAAGGGAAATTACACTCTATTATTCTAATTGTTGCAGTCTAATATTTATATAATGGCACTGTAACAGTTCTGGATTCTATAATTTATGTGACCTGAGTTCATTTTTACTTGAACAAAAAGATTAGATAGATGTTAAATCAGAGAACATTCCTTCTGGAAAAAAAAAAAAAAAAGAAATCTGAGGCTACGTTTTAATTACTTTGCCCATCCAAAGAAACACATAAAAAATAATTATTATTATTACTGATAATAATTGAACAGGTAAGCAGAGGTTTCTGAAAGAATATAGAAAAAATGAGTTGTACTAATTACATGAGAACAAACATGTAACATTGTTTCTCCTTATGGCTATATGGCTTTTATCGATATTATAAAGGAGGCTTAAAAAGTGTTGCTTAAAGAAAAGCTGAAAACTGTTCTTGGCACTGTAAGATAAGATGCTGTCTGCAGTGAAGGACTGTTAAAAGTAGCAAATTATAACAATTCAAAAAACAAATAGTTTGAACTCAGCAATTAACAGAGAAAGCATATTTGGAAGAGTGTTTATGATTCATTTAGCTAATACCTAGATAGCCTCAATTCTGCATCACCACTGGAGGAAAGAGCACATGCTGGTTAGAGAAACAGCTTGACTGCAGTTACTGCTGAACATATATGGGGCTTAGGAACCTTCCCTCAACTCCTTCAGCGTTAAAACATTTAAACTGTTATTTTTTTAAAAAATAAAAATCACAGTTCTTTTCACATATCTCAATATCTTCCCTCTATGAAAGCTACTCCCTCCTCTCCCGAAAGACTGGTGTTTCTGTACTTTCTAGCACCTAGCAGAGGCTTTTGGCAGCTAAATGTTGAATCGCACTTAAGAACGTTTCAACTGTCACTAGTGATCATAAAGATGAAAAGCCAGAAAGGAGTGAAGTCATGAAGAGCTGAAGTGCAGGCATCCCTTTCTGAGCTACAGACCACTGAACTATGTTTGAAACAATGTTAACGATACAAGACTATAAAAACAGCTACATACATTTACACCCACCCATAATCTCATCCTAACCTCTTGAGAAATGGTTATACCTTATAAAACCAGATTACCAACAAAACTTCAGCAGCTTCCATAGAGAACGCTCTTAATGGACATTACCTGAAGACAAGCTGGCTGGAAAATCTGGCCCAAATTACTTGTCTTCAGATGGGCAGGTACATCACAACATGTCTTCATATACACACCATGGATAAATTGGAACATAACTGCTTCAGAACCTCAACAAAAAAGAACTCATGGTTCGTTAGTTTTTTTTTTTAAAAAAAAAAAAAAGAAAAAAAGAGGTTTATATTCACCATGTGCTCACAATTTGTATCATTAATCTTTAATGACAGCTAGAAGCAACAGGTTTATAAATATATATTTTTCATAATTGTGACCAGTGACTAGATGTAGTTTTGGTGGAAAATTGTCTGAAATACTGTAAGGCTAGGTAAATTACAAGGCATTATTAGAAAACATTGATTTTTAACTTTTGGTGATATTACTTTTACAAACACCAGAAACAAACATTACTTGGTGAAATATAAACATTGCAGAAGAAACTACAACCAAAACTAATTTACTAAAGCACAAAGTTAAGAAACAATTACTTTTTTTTTTTTTAAACAAAGTCAAGGTAAATCAAAGAAACAGTAATAAAAACTTGCATGTTAAAGAACACTGTCTTCAACAGACAGCATCTCCATTACAGAGAGAAACAATTTGTGTAACACTGTAAGGGAGGGGTTAGGTTTGTTTAAACCATTCCAAGAACAGTGATGTTCTGTCACAGCAGTCAATTTTCCTGAATTACAACATGGATTCATGGCAGGTTTTGCACACAGGTAGAGCTTATTTTGTATCAAACTTAAAATGCATGAACTTCATGTCAGGGTGCACCTCCGTAAAGCCAGTTACAGGATATACACAAACATTTGTTATACCACAGTTTAGAAACTAGACTTACGAGTAATCCCAACCAATTTTAGTTTTACTACTTTTGATCAGCTTTAAAAACATACATATTAGCTCTCTGAGTTTAAAAGTATAATACAATTTGGCTTAATTTTAAGATACATAAATATAAAAATTTTAAAACTCACAACAATAACACAACTTTTTGTCCTAGAAGGTGATAAAAAGTATAATGCATGATACTCCCTTACATGATTTTATGAAATATTGTCTTGTTACTGTTATTCAACAGAGTATGATTATGACTGAGTGAAGTCAGATTGAACATAAAAGAACCTAAAGATATAACAGTGTTTAAGACATACAGTTTCCTCAGTGACACTTGTAACAGAATATTCTATACACAACACACCAATACATCAACTACACCAATCAAGTCAATAGCTAAAAAACCAGGTGCACCATAATATTGCATAGAAGGAAATCCCTGGTATTAATACATTTGCACTGGAGACTAGGACTTTCTCCCTGCCTTACTAATTCAAAGCACATATGTTTTTAGAAAAATCACATCTCACATTTGACATTTTTCTTAGCTATATTCTTTGGAATTGCTAGTGCATGTATTATTTCAAGCACATTTTTATTCTGCATGCTATTGTTTAATATTAAAAAAAAACTAAAATTGAAAGGAAAAGAGTTTTCCTCTGCCTTCACCCCCAACATATAATGTAATTATCTTCCTATGTTACATAAAAATAAAATCAAACCTGTCTCAACAGAAAGCTCAAACAAAAGCCAGGGTAGCTGAATGAACAGGATAGTCATACAAGATGGGGAAATCCAGGGTCAAGAATTGTCTCTAAAATAAGTTAAAAATTGTATTTATAAGTTAGATAAAGAAAGAGCCCAACCAATAGCCAATGTTTTTATAGCTCAGTATTCACTTGGATCATGGAAGACCTACTTTCAAGTCCATATACTGATTTAAGGAAGTACCCTTACCACTTCACTATTTTAGGGCAATTCTCTCCTATAAGCTGAACCGAGAAAACTTTCCTATTGAAACAGGTATGTTTCCCTGAACATGTTTCATTTTGAAAACTGTCACTATCTTCTATTTAAAAAAAATACTGATCAGCTCTATATAAGGCTAGGGTTTTTTATTTTACATAAAAATTGACTCTATTTTCTACTTTAAACTATTTATGTTTGAAAAACCTTAATTTCAGTGCTCAAAAATATTTTAATTTCATTAAGTAATCCTTTCATATACTGAGAACATGTACACATGAAGTGCATACAGAAAACAGAATTACTGATAATTTGCCAGAAAGCCATGCAATATAATTGGAAGGTAAAAGTAATTTTTTCCAGATATACCTTACAGTGAGCACTTTTATTTCGTGATACAAACTGTGCAGACAGATTAAATCCATTCCGAAGTTTTAACATTATCATCAGGTAGGATCAGATAAGTAACAGTAAAAGCTGAAAAGACCGTGTCTCCACAAATAGATTTCATAAAAAACTAGAATTTCTGGTTTCAGATAGTATATATATTTAGAATATCTGTGTAAGAGGTGAATATATACCATAAATATATTTTGTTATATTAACAATAGTCATAGCTGTTTTTTTTTTCCTTAACCACATAATTGTAGAGGTGTGCCGGGAAGACATATTTCTGACTGTTGTTTCTTTCACTGTAATATGGGAAAATATTATCAAATTCTTCTGGCTGCTACAGATTTCTGGCACAGCTGAAAATGCATCAGGAATTAGAATTGATTATTATATTTTTAGTATAAATTTAATTTTGATGACAAAGCCATTATTGGACTTTTGGTGAGAAAGCTAAAGAACATGTGAGATTTCTTCCCAGGAAATGTTGAAAGGCACAGCAAAATTTCAATATATATTTAATAATATGTTAAAAAGTAGATTCTGAGTATTTCTGTAGGTTACTTTATAATAAAATACAGAATTAGCAGATGTTTGCCTGTTGGTGTTTTGGAAAAACATTCCATGTATCTGTAAAGAGATCCTGCTTATGCATGAATAGACATTTGTTCATTCAAATGATACATTTTCCCTTCACATATGCTGAAACAAAGAGCATGCACTTATTCTGTTGTTTACTGAAATACCGTGGCACACACGTTCACATCAGAAAGCTACTTGCAAATGGCAAAAGGAGAAAAAAAATTAATTTACCTGAAATTATGTACATTTATTGAAAATGAATACAACAGTTTCAGTTACGGATTTTATGTTAATAAATAGTAATATGTTTATCTAGCCGAAATTCCACTTACACTCAATAGTTCTGACTCCTTTTAGGATTTTTAATAATTGGGGTAGATTTCCAAAATACTGCCATGAAAGGTATAGAAACACATGCAAAAAATCTACCGGTTTAAGTGCGAAGTGGCAAACATCGATGTATATCAGACATACAGTACAATTTGACTCACTGTACATAGTATCATAATATTGCACGTAAAATAACATGGCACATTTCATAAAGCTACAATTTTGCACAATAAATGACAGACACATTTTTACCTCTGCAGAGACATAAACAATGAATAATTCACTTCAAAGTGAAGTACATGACCTAAGGATTATTGCCTTGCCTAAACCATTCTAGTGTCACTTGGAAAGGAAAGTGGCATGGGCTCTATTCATGCAAATGAAAATACAAAGAGCTGACATCTTTTCCAGAAAAAGGTTGGCTTGAAAAATTTCAAATATTCTACTTTGCCTGTGAAAGCTCATTTTGTGGAACAATATTCTTTAGAAATGTGATTTTTAAAAAAGTTGTTGCTCCTGCTCCCATTAAAATGATTGCTGTCCTACCAACTTGAAAATTATCTTCCTCAATACAGGTTTTTCTCCTCAAAGTCATAATTTCTATAAATATTATTTAATTGTTATTTGGGATTTTTATTTCATCTCCATTTATCACAATGTTTCTATCAAGCCACAAATAGCATCAGATTGAAATCCAAGGGATTGGAAGCCATACGTGAACACTGCAAATGAAAAAAATATTTATGGTCATTGTAACTGAACATGGCTTTGGAAATCTATATAAATCTTGCTTGGAAATAAATTAATGTGATAGAAGTGAAAATGTGTAATCAAAGATGTTCAAGTTTTGGCATATACCACTGATAAATTTCTATTAAAACACCTCAAACTTCTTCCACAGACTTCATCAATAGCATACTCTGGTCAAAGATGACTGGGCACAGCCTTACCTTTCCACACTTTAAAAAGTAGGTGTTTATAAATGCTTCTAGAAGCCCATGTCTTTTACTGGACTTGAATACATATCATCAACAATCTGTAATCAAATTCAATCCTGTAAAGTTACTCACAAAATTTAGTGTTGAGGACAGGCTTAACTGCTTGACATCTCAGGAGATTCTGTTTTGCAAAGCTTTCTTCTGGTATGCTACATTCTCAAAAGTTTAATAACCAGATTTGTGTTTGACCAATGGGGTCATAAATAAAAGAATAATAATAATATATTAACAGTATTATAAATTCATAGCCCCATTTTACCTAGAAAATATTTCAACTGACAGCAACAGTAATTTTACCTAAGTCATGATTAAAAAAAAAAAAAAAGGTAATACAACAATTTGCTAGTGAACTTGATGCACGAACGGATGTTTAGGTATTCCAAAAGAGTTTTAGGTACCATTTAGGTATTCCAAATTTAAAGAGTTTAAGCCATAGTTTCTATAAGGAGATTTTTAAATGATTAGAGACCTGCAGATGCTGAATAAATGAAATGACAATGAAAACTGCCATTCACTGGAAAATAGTTTTGAAGCTCTAGAATTAGAGTTATTCATTGTTAAAATGGTTTTAGCACTGCTCATGTTTCTAAAGCCACTGAAACAGTAAACAGGAAATCTCGTTAAAACCTTATAAGCAAAGTCGCAACACAGTTAATATAATATGCATAGAAGCTACTTTTTTCTCCAAGCGTTTTCATCAATCTACAGAACAGTTGTTGGTTCATTATTTGGGTAAAAAAGGCCAAGAAAAAGAAACACATAAATAAAAAGATGTTTGGTGTATTTCCACCAGATTTCAAAGTGCTTTCAAATGGAGACAAGTCCTTTTCCTTCTCTCCAGTATTAAGGCTCCTATAAAAAAATAAGTTTAACTAAAAGACACTTGGGCTTTCCTTATCAAATACACCACTTAATATGCTTTAATCATGAAAGTTTTAAGACCCCTACTTCCGCAGTTCTAGCTTTATAAATGTGTATTAGCAATATATAGGATTATTTTATTAAAATATCAGGGCCTTAATATGCTAAAACGCTAAATACTCAGAAGTTGACAGTACACTTCTATATTCTGCTTCTAGTAAAAAAAAGGGATTAGAAAAGTGACTGGGAAATTAAAATCAAGTTATGAATACTGCAGAAGGTAGTCTTGCTATTATTTTCTATTAAGCAGAAACAATGATCTAGAGAAATTAAATTAAATACTCTTTTCCTATCAGGTTTACAGGCTTTTTTTTTTTTTTTTTTTTTTCTCCCCCAGAATTTAACAGTTTAATTATTCTGACTGAACTAGAGTCTCAGGGGAAAAAGTGTGTCAAAAGGTTCTGTGAGACCTTCACATCACCCGAGCTGTTTGGGACACTTGACCATTTCAAGGAACACAAAAATGCAGTTAAAAAAAAAAAAAAAAAAAATCACATTTCACTCCTAAACAATCTACAGAAGATTGAAAACATTAAAGACCTGATCTTACAGCCTTTCATCATCAGAAGATCACGCTGACATTAGTTTTAGCAGTCTCAGAAGTCATATTTGCAGGAGAGGGAACTCTCCTGCAAATCCATACATGCCTGAATCCTGGGAAATTAGCACCCAGATTTGGCACCAGCGCAACCTATATTCAACTGAAGTCCTGAACAGTTTAAAAAGACTGTGTTTACTGCTAATACAATTTAAAACATGCCTTTGAATGCAGAAGTCAGCATGCTCTGTCATGTTTACTGATATATTTTTATATGGCAAGATGAATTCCTTCAACTTGTCCAACTAAATTTTACCAGTTTTGTGAAATCTGTCACTTACTGAAAGTAGTATGAAAAATTTGGAGCATTTTGTTTTTCAGAAAGCAGGCTCCTGCACTGATACTTTAGCATAAGAAATTACATTAAACTATTAATAAGAATAAAAATTAAAACATTGCTTGGGATGCAGACTAGAATTATGGATTCAAGTCTTGCCACCTCTAGTTCCTTTGGTGCAATGCCATGACTTTCCAGCTGACCTGAACACAAGCAGCTTTATGGGACCAACCCTACTGAAACAAACATCAGATCCTGACAAACCGTTGCAACAACATGCCACGTGAATTTTAAAACAAAATACTTGCTTTTTAAAAAAATCCTTCAGTGGGTTGCATTTCATTAGCAGGTGATGTTAGTTTTCTTTTCTAAATATGTTTAAACACATGAAACTGGGTTCAAAATTTAAATACGTCTACCTTTGTTTTGACCGATTAATCATTTTTTACAGCATGATGAAGCACAGCTACACCGGGGGCATCTGTATTGTTGTCTTTTTGGGTTCAAAACGGTAATCTGTCCCTTAACCTTGTCCTATCAGGCCCTCAACCCCGCAGGGTAATTAACAGGAGTGGGTGAGTGAGGGTGTGAAGAGGGATGCAGCACCTCGCCAGAGCGGGCTCCGCTTAAGCAGGATGAGGCAAACAGGACGGCTGGCCAGGTGCCCTCCGTGTTTCCAGGGCCTGACCCTGCAGAGGTGACAGCAGTTGATCCTGACCTCCGGCACCCGGGAGCATCTGTTTGCCCCTGCGGATTCTGGTCCTGACCAGTAAATTCTGCCAAGGCCCCGCGGCCCCTCGCCGCAGGGCCGGGCTGGGCAGGTGCTTTGGCGGGAGCCACGGGGAGACTGAGGCGGGAAACGCACGTCGGCCGCACACCGGGCCTCCCTGCCGACAACCCCCGTGGTAGCCTGCAAGGTTTCCCCCTCGACATCAGTAGTGAAATAAAAAATATAAATTATCCATTTGTAAACAGAATTCAGGGAAATACCTTCAGGCGGCTTACAGGGAAGCGGCTGGAGGCGAGGCCTGCACTGTGCCGGAGGGGCGCCGAGCCCCGCGGTGAGGGTCCTGCTCCCCTCAGCGGGGGCAGGACCTGCTCCCCTCAGCGGGGGCAGGACCGGCCCGCCCTTCCCTTCCGCGGGGCTCCGCGCTCCCTTCGGCGCTGAGGCAGCCCCCGCACCCCCTCAGATGAAGTGGATCCAGGCGGTGCTGTCGGGGTCCTGCGGGGGACCAGCGGCGGGCGGGACGCGCTGCCGGCCCCGCAGCCGATAGTTCGCGCCTTCGTTGTTGTCCCAATACTCGGCGCCGGCGACGCGGTAGCGGACGGCGAACTCCAGCTCGGCCTCGGAGGCGGCGACCAAGGGCAGGAGGAAGGCGAAGCGGTCGGTGAGGCCGTCCGCCGGGCCGGGCGGCTGGTAGGCGGCGGGCACCTCGGCGCAGCTGGCCCAGCCGTTGAGCGTGTAGCGCACCGACACGGCCTTCTCGTAGGCCAGGTTGAGGACGCGCACGGCCCCGCGGAGCCCCGCCGGCTCGGCCCGCACCCACTCCAGCCTCACCTTGTGCTGCCGCACCCGCTCCGCGAAGCCGGGGCTGGAGCCGGGCTGCGGCGGGAAGAGCGGCTCCAACAGCGGCGGCGGCGGCCCGAACAGCACCGGCTCCAGGTCGCCCAGCGCCGGCGGTTTTCTGGTCTTGAAGCGGTCGGCGGTGCGTGGCGGCGGAACCTGCGGCAGGTCGGCTTCGCAGAAGTGGCGCACGGAGGTGAGCTCCAGGCCGAGGGAGTCGGCGAACCGCACGGTCTTGCGGCGGGACGGGCTCTGCTGCAGCGCCGGGCGCAGGCTGCGGTCGCCGGGCGTGGGCAGCGATTTGGCGCGGCGGCGCTGCGTGGGGCTGGGGGGCACGGCGGGCAGCGTGGGCTCCCGGCCGCGGGACGGCGGAGGCTTGTCGCCCGCCGCTTCCCGCACCACGGGCGGCGGGGGGGCGGCGGCGTCGCCGTCGGGGCTGCAGCCCCCCTTGCACTGCTCGGCCAGGCTGCCATACAGGCAAGCGCTGCAGCTGAAGTTGCGCGGCAGGTAGAGCCGGGGCGGCGGCGTGGGCACCGAGGTGTGCAGCGAGCCCGCTTTATCCATGGAGGGGTGCGTGGGGTGAGGCGGGGGGGGGGGGGGAGCGGCGGCTGTGCCGGCGGCGGCCGGCTCACCACCCGGGGCTCGCCGCCTAGCTCCCTCCTCCTCCTCCTCTCGGGGATGCGGATGGCGAGGCGATCTAGCTGCCGAGCCGCGGGTTCTGCCTCTCGCCGGGACCCGGCAGCAGCGGGATCACCTCGCTGTCGTCCCCGTCGCGGCCGGTCCCGGGGGGTGCCGGCGGGTGCATGTGGCCGCGGGACCGCGGCTCTCCGGCTCCTGCTGCTGCTGCTGCTGCCGCGCCGGGGTCAGGCAGAGAAACACGCCCCGAGTCATCCTTCCTCCCCCATGGCTCCGCGCTCCCCACCCGCCCCTCTGCCCGCCTCGGCGTCGGCCTCGCCACCTTCCCGAACTGCAGCCCGCGGCTGCCGGCCCCCCTCGCCCGGCCGCTCCCCCCAGTGCCGTCCCTCTCCTCCTCCTCCTCGCTGTGTTCTGGGTCTTTCCTCGAGGATCTCATCCAAAAAGAGGAGGCGGGAGGGATTCCCCGGTAGAAGCATTAAAATTCACAGCAGCGCGCTCCCTCGCCTGATGCGTTACAGAAATAGCTGCTAAAGGGAGAAGGAAAGCCGGGCGCTGGGAGATTAAACGGGCCGATAAGAAACAGCTGGCTTGCAAGTTGGATCTCGCAGTGTACATTTAAAGGAAGAAATCCAGCTAATCTGCTGTAATGCGTTTACAGTACATCTGCTGAATAACATACACCTGCCACAGCGCTGCTACAGATTTCCATCTGTAGTAAAAGCAGCTTCAGTCTAAACGCAGAGGGCTGATTATGAAACATAAACTGTGTTTGTTCTTTTTGGAAGAGTATTTGGTAATTACCAAGCAACATCCAAATGAATTAGAGTTTAATGATGAGCAGATTAGGGCAGCCAGTTCAAGTAGCTAAAACACTATTTTAGTAAGGTGCTTCATTCCAGAGTTTCCATAATCTGGTACTCATTATTAATTAGTAAATTGCATTAAAAACAATGATCCTGCCGGAGGCTGGACCTGAATTGGGTTGACATGTGATTCTGATTTAGCTTTTGAGCAGCAGCTTTTACACCTTCTTTGTTTTATCTGCAGCACTTGGTGTTCCTTTGAAAGTCTAGGTGGTGGAAATGCGGTTGACGAGATGAAGAATGGGACAAGTAAACCCGATATAGACCAAGAGTTAAAAAAAAAACAGCCACCAAAACACGGGGAAAATCTCCCCACTGTTTCACATTAGAACATAAGTATGAAAATAATTCCTAGGTTATTGCCGCTGGGTTCCACATCTTTTTCATGACAGATGGTTCATAAGCAGGGAATGAAAAACTATGCCCAGCAGTGTTAAATTTGGCCTCGTTATGCTTCCCAGTGATTTGTCATGTCATTGTCTTGCATTTACAGGATGATCATAGGTTTTGAAAAATCAAATAGTATTAACATAAAGGATTACACCTGAATTCATTAGCCCAGGATCTTAATAATTGTCTCACTTGTCCTTTAATGCATACTACGGGAAAGATTCATTAGGCCTCCTTCCCATGCCCCCCTCCCAAAAATGAGTATTTCAGGAAAACAACATGAACTCATGTTTGTTTTTTGTCTACTCATACTAATTTGGGGGAATTGTTCAAATAGGCTTTAAGGCTATATCCTTTTAAGTTACATTTTTTAACAATTTCTAACTGTCATTAAAATTTTCTAATGAATTAACACTCGGTTTTGCTGACATTAATTTCAATTTAAAACCAGCAAACAGGAAGAACTTTTTTTTTTTTTACATTAATAGGCAAAATCTTTGCCATTTTTAAACTACTGTGAAAGTACCCAAACTAATAAACTAAATTGGCTTAAACATGATTACATGTTCAATGGGAGTTTTGAATATGTCTTTGTGGTATACATGTGGAACATAACTGTTTGCAGTAATTTAGCTTCTGCTGTATTTTACACAATCGGAGTGCCTCAATAGAGTTCAACTTCCCCTCTTCTGGTAATTTTAGTTGCCTAAGTTCTTCTTATCAGAAACTTGTGTAATACGCCTCCTCTTTTCTCCCACAACCTTGGTAATATTTCCTGGAACAAAAAAAACCCAACTCCTTTCTTTACTGGTGATTGTATGTGATGTAGTTCATGTAACCAAGTTAAAAGTACAGATTCCTCAAAGTTAGTAAACCAAAGGCTGGGATAAAAAATGAGAAAATCCTGTGATAAGAAAGAAAGAAAAAAAACAACCAACCAACCAAAACAAAACAGCAGCTTGAGACTACCTGGTCGAGGCAACATGAGATGCAGAGGGACACCCATATAAACTGGTAGACAGGGCGAGAACACAGTTCAGAAATTTCAGCTGAGTTCAGCTCTTGCCATCATCAGGTAAAAAACCTGATGGTTCTTCAGCCTTGCAAGAGAATGAGAATATTGCATGGGCATGTAGCTGGTGGAGAAGAGAGTAGAAAGAGACTTGTTCTAAATGCGTACCCACTCTAAATAATTTCACAGGCAATTCCTGTGGAGTAGAGTGGAAGAAAGCCATTTATAGGTACTTAAATCATCAAAACATCAACTGACTTGGGTGTGCTCCCATTTTCACCTGCAATTTCCCCCAGAAACCTCAAGTTCTGGCACACAGGGGGGCACCTCAGCCTTGTCTCTGTTGACCACTTTCACCATGTAAACTCCACCAGAATCCGTAAGGTTTTTCTCACTTCTTTCTCTTGATCTGAACATTCCCAAGGTCTTGCTGAATCTACTGTGGCAGGCGTGCTGCCGCTTTCTTTTTACTCTCTTGCTTCCTTGCCAAGGGGTGAAGCTGGGGGAAGTCTTACCCACATCTTTCACTTCTGAGGGTATCCTTATTATTAGGCTGGTCTTCCTCATCCGATGAATTTAAGGCAGACGTGGTAAATGAAAGTTTCAAGCACTGATTTTTAACAGACATTCCCTCAAATAGCCTGCAGCCTTGTGCATTCTTCTGTGATGTGGAAACTGTGGTATAAGTTCAAAATGAGAAGCATCAGACACCATTTGTAAAAGGAAGTTCTTTTGGTTTTGCCTACTGTAAATATTTGTACACAGCAAATGCTTAAATCCTTAGAAGCGAGCAAGCACTACCACACATACAGAAACTATGGCTTAATATATGCAGTGGTAGGCATCCATACACCACCCCCTCTCTATCTTAATTTAGTTCACAGAATTTTGAACATGTATGTTTAAAAGTCTAATCTGTCTGTTCATTTATAGTGCTATATTAAGGACATTATCCAAGGCTCTTTCTAAATAATACTGTCAATAACAAAGCTGATACAGAAATTGTTAGGACTGACCTAGCTAGCTCCTTTGAAGAAATACCTGTTCTATTTTCACTGGAAAACAGTAATAATAATAATATTATTAATAATAATAGATAGTTTTGAAGGTGCCAGCAAGAATAGAGTAGTCATCATGTAAATTCAAGAGTTCTACAGTGTTGCTCTATTATAGGGTAAGAAAAGCAGGTGGTCTTAAATTACAATTGGTGTCAACACTTAGGAAATGGCACTCTGGCATTGTTTTAATTCCTTTCCCTTTGCAGATTTAAATAACATGGTCATAGGATAAAAGTTTGTCCTAATAACATTGTCTTAATAGCTTTTGTTGACCTGTCTCTACATCTTCCAGCTGACAGAAAAAATTTTAAAGATGGCCTCTTGTTCTGACAACATAGCACTGAGTGACCCTGACATTTCTGCCATGCCAAACTGCATTTAAAATCTGTCTGATGCCTGAGAATTTCCAGCTAACCGAACAGAGACATTTGGTCCCCGCTTTTGTTAAGATTTAAATGATTTGGAAAGAAAAATGTGAAACCAATGCTGGCAATGAACTGGGAGCTTGCTTCTGCTGCATTTATCAATTGTCTTGACTTCAGGTAATCTGGGAGAAAGCAGATGTGGGTGCTGGGGAGCATCAGGCAGGACTACAATGGAACCATTAATAGGGAACGTCTGAGTGCTGGGGCTTATCCAAAGTGGCCACTGTCACATGGCCACTTTTAACTTTCCAGAACAGGTTTATATTTAGTAATGAGAATTGTGGGAAGATAAAATGGATGTAAAGGCGAAGTGCATTATGATTATATCAGCTTTCGGGATGAAGTTGTGACTCAGTATGTGAATTGGAAAGGTCAGCTTCTACTCTCATTTGTATCCGTGCAGCTCTTCTGAAGCTGATGAACTATGTGGGTGTTACACTAGAATGTCACCCAAGAGTTTAATAATCTTATATGACTACATGAATCTGACAATGGTACTTACACCGGCAGTTTGTAAGCCTTGCATGACACACTTGTTCTGTGTGCTTATACTTTAAAAATACCTTCCCACATCATTTCACATCATTAAACTCAGACTTTATTTCCCCAAGAAAATATCTTAGTCACATCTCAGAGAAGTGCCAGATTAGAATTAGGTAATATGCCTGATGTATATATATAAAAAATGAAGTATTCTGTTAAAGAACAATGGTATCGATCTTCTGTACCAAATATTATCTTCACCTAACCAGAATATGAAGTCTTTATCTATTAAGATGCAAGTTGTGAAATTCATAGAGTTGTATCAAGGATGTTTGATGCCAAACAAAGATCAATGAACAATTTCCAAAGGGCTACACATTCTGCTAAGCAGAGATATGATACTTGGAAAGGTTGCTTTTTGTTTGTAGGTTTTTGTTGTTGTTGCTATTTTGGTTGTTGTTTTTTTTTTGTTTGTTTGTTTTGTTTTGTTTTGGGTTTTTTTTTTTGTTTTGTTTTTTTAAGTATCAGGATCTAAATGAAGATATGATAGTAACAAGAAAATAGAATTGTATGAGTTTACCTCCATCCTTGACCTTGTGAATCTGCTTTCCTGTATGATGAAGCTCACACATAATTTTATTAGTTAAGCATCAACCATTTCTGTTGACTCTTAAGTGATTGGCTTAAGACTTCTAGAGAGACCATAAGCTAAAAAAAGCCCCAATTAAGACTACAGTGGAAAAGAAAAAAAAAAAAAAAAACCCAAACAGATAGGTCTCATTTTGTGGAGAAGATGATAAAGAATATTGAAAATATTTTTCCTGTATAGATAGTTCTGCTGTTTTTAAAAGGATTGAATGTTTTTAACAAGGATTAGGTAACAGCTAGGAGGACTGAGACTCTTTCAGGCCTAGAATTTTTAACATAGATTTTCATACAAATATCTAAATAAATGCATTCCAGGTTGTCCCTGAATCCCATCTTCTGGTAAGAGTGCTTGTGACTCAGTCTTCATGCCATGTTGTAAAGTAACCACAGGACTTTCTAGCAACTGGGTATGGTCTCAGTAGTGCCAGTTGATAATTTTAGACATTAAAATATGCTCATTGTACACTTGATTTTAATTTTTATATTTTTTTAATATTTAAAGATCCATTGGTCAGGCAGGGATTCACTGTGATTACTTAGATTCCTTATACTGTAAGAACAATTTGCCTCCTCATTTTTTTTTTTATTTCCTTCACCTTTCTCACAGTTCTTCTTCCCTTTCCCTCCTATTT